AGATTCTGACCACTTTTCTTCTCACACAGCTTTCTTAAGAGGTCCAGGGCAAAAGTGGTATTTGCTGCACACAGGCTTTCCATGGTTTCGAACCTGGCAGATAAAACACAGAACAAGAATGGATTGAATTTATCTGAACACAAAAAACCTGTTTCTCTCTTTCACGTTTCCCAGCATAAACTAGCCAGCAAATGTCAGCATTCGGCTGGAAAACTATCCCCTGAATGGAAAACTGATTTGGTGGCACAAGCACCTTAAACCCCATACAACTCTCTTGAGTTATTTTAGGGATTTACTGTCTGCTTTTGTATTTCAATCCCATACCTACATAGTATTACATCTTTTGAGATGATCAGGCACAACAGGATTCTGTTCAGAACTCACTGAAAGAAAGCTCTCTTGACCTCACAAAGAAAATAATTTGCCTTTATACAAACACCAGACCAAAAAGTGAGACATCAGAATGGCCAAATTACAAACTCTTACCTTCTCTAAGTCTACAGATCTTCAGCTGTACCTTCAGCTTACTCCTGCGTGTGCAGACTGTGTTTTAAACAGCTGAGCTGGGAGAAGTCAGCAGAATGACTTGTCCTACAAGAAACAAAAACATTGTCACTGGAATATTCTTTTACAAAAACAAGCAAAAAAAAACCCCAGTCACATTGAAATACCCTATTTTTTTCCCACATAAACTACATATCCCAATCCTACTTATCTGACTCACTAAATCGCATTATTTAAAAGAATTCCTTGCCTTCTAACTTGAAATTGGAAGCATGTGTATTGGCAGGTCTGCAGATTAAAGTTGTTCAGCTTCCCAGGCCCAGCACACCCCACACATCTCACTCCCGCACCTTTCCCCCTGCTTCTTCCTGCAGAACTGTCCAATTTGGCTCCATCCTTTCAGACCGTTTCAAACTCCTACGTGGAGGCGTTTGCACCAGAACGTGGGGATTTCCAGGACAGTCTTCCTACAGCAATTGCAAAATATCATTGTCGGCTCCCTCCGACAGAGGGATAACCGCCCGGCAGCTTTGCAATCTTCTTCTAGCAAAGAAAAAACTCCGCCACCTTCCCGCCCCCCAAATCCAAACCCATACCCGAAAGCGCACTTTGATTTACTTACAGCACCCGAGCAAGCCTTTCCCCCAAACCATCCAGCTCACGGCCTCCACCCCACCCTGCCCGACAACCGCCCCGATTTTGCGCGAAGACGAAAAATTTCCGCATTTCTTCCCGTTACCGCCCCGTCGCCCGAGGACGCCCCGGGGCGGGGGTAGGGGCGGAGACCTGCGGAAGGCTGCGGAGCCCCGGCGCAGCCGAGCTCCCTTGCCCGCATCCCTGCCCGGCCGGCGGGAGCGGCGACAACCGCGGACACACCGCCCGGCTGGGGCGGGGACCCAGGGGCGGGGCAGGGCAGCCACACAGAACCCAGGTGTGCTCTGTCCACAATCCTTCTCTTCCTACGACAGAGTTTAAAATGTATGTATAAGTTAGGGTTGAAAAAAAGGAACAGAGTCCCACAGCGCTCGTGGCTTTTTTATTATTTCAGGAACAGGAACTCCAAAACACAAACACAGCCCTGTGTCAAAAAAGGCCTTTCAGCTGTGTCTTTGGCATTATGTCTTTGGCATTATACAGTTCAGCTATGATGTTTAAGAAACTATGAATAGGATAAATAGATAACAATAGCAAAAACGTTAAAGCTTTTCATGCAAATATTGCATAAGCACCATATGCTCTTTTGTTACATTCCTTGTTGAAGCACTAGAACCAGGAGAAAGGTAAACCCAGGAGTCCTGTGGTGATGAAACAAAGGCTCTCCCCCCCAAACACCCCATAAGGACATCAGGGACAAAAAACATACTTTCATTCCCATTCCTGCCTAAGTCCTTGTCCAGTTAGTAGACAAAATAAACAAACATCTAGGCAGGGTGCTCAGCAACACCTGGAACAGACTCCTTTCAGCTCTAGGGAATGGATCAAGGCACTAAAGGGATGAGACTGGAAGAAGAAAGGGGAGTGCAGCTAAAAAGGTGCTCCAGCCTTGTCAGCAGCCAAAGTAACTTCTGCTCTCTCACGGGCTGTCAGTGCTTGACTCGGCCTCATGGACACTAAAAGTCAAGTCAAGGACAGGAGAAGCCTTTGCTGAGCAAGTGGGATGTTACTTCTGTCAGCAAGAACCTCCACACAGGTGCACAGGGAGAGAGGTGTTTTACACAGCGCTTGCTGTGGAGCTCTAAGCAGCTTTGTTATTCTTGCCAAGCCCCAGATCAAGACCACAGAAGAGGGTTCAGGCACAGCTCAAAGAGGCAATTAGTGCAAAAGGAGTCACCCTATTCTAGAGAAATCTTTATTGTGTAATGGCCCCTATCCTACCAAGACAACTCCTCTTCAGGGAGAGCAAAACCTGCCACAGAACAAAATGCTGGAAGATTTGTTGTGCCGGATGAAGAAGAGGAAGGGATGATCAGCAGTGAAATCTGGAACGATCATTGCAGAGCAACCGAAGGCCATTCCAGCCGTGGCAGCAGCTGCTTCAGTGCCTTCTTCGTTGACTTCCACAAAGGACTTGTGAACCACTTCAGAGAGCACCAGCTCATTGCCAGATGACATTCCTGAGAAGTCTGCCTTCCCCGAGTCAAATGCATCAGGCATTCCCATGCAGCTCAGAATGGGTTTCAGATTATAACCTTCTTCCAGTTTAAATCTGGGTAAAGACACCATCACCTTTGTAGACTTCATCATTTCAGGACTGATCCAAGCTATCAGCTTTTCATATGTAAGTTCTCTTTCCAGCTAAAAAAAAAAATCCCAAATTTACGTAATTAATATGAGAAGAAAGTCAATGTTACATGGCCAAAAGTAGCAACTACTGTTTGTTTACACAGTACATAACATGTTTTGTTGGGGTTTTTTTATATTCTTACATATGAAAAACAAAGGCACAGAACTGCTGACATAGTCCCAAAGAAACGGATCCCAGTTCTTCTGTCTCAACCAAAGGTTCGTCCTTATGGTGACAGGATGATGAAAAAGCCTGCTCACAAAGCCCTTCACAGTCAGTGTTAGAAAACCTTATTAATAAACTCCTTGCCAGAGCACAAAATAGCCCAAACTTTTATTCCATCTCCACAACAGGAGAGATCCTACCCTTTCCTGTCTATGTGCTGTACCAGACTTCCTTTCCTGGAAGGATACAGGCTGTCTTTGCATTCAGCTCAACAACTTACTCTTTCCAAGCCCGTGGATCCATCCTGGATTGCATCAGGGAGCAGGATGATCATGCTCAGTTCATTACCAACATAGGGCAGCTCAAGGATTTTGGTCTGGAAGTCTCCAATATAGGTCATGTTAAATCTATCTGTCTTGAACATCATCTGCACAGGCTTGGTCCCATTCTAAAAATTTAGAGATGTCAACAGTTAGTGCTGAGCTACTGTGCTGCTCTCAAAATACAGAGCAGGCAGCCAGTTACTCACAGCTTTTGAGAATTTAACCAAACAGAACCAATCACACACCATGGAGTACAGCCCCACCGCGGCCTTTTCTAAAGCAAGAGGTAAAACCCATTGATACGCAGTAGCACTGCACAATATTGCATCACAAATCAAAAGGCAGATTATTCACCAGCAGAACATCCTGTTGCTGTTGCATCTTGAAACCTGGCCCTAGCTTTGCCTTGGCCCAAAGACGAGAAAACGGAATTGTGTCTCTGGATACTCTGCCAGCTTTTTCAACACATTTCAACAGTGAGAGGGCAAGGTCCCCAAAACCAAGTCAGTCCAGCACTCTCTGAAGGGCTGCAGTAGGTAGTATAGGGTGAGCAGTAACATTCCCTCTTGAAAAACTGGTATTAACCATTTCAAACATTCTTGGATATTTTTCACCACTGGGGGAGGGACACTTCCAAGTCTGCTGTGAGTACTTCTGCTCTGCATAATGATTCTTTGAAGTAAGTGAGTTAAGGAAGGCATGTTAGCAGTTCTTATTCCTGACACCAGAGTCCAACCCAGAGGTGCAGGGGATCCTGAGGGGCAGCCATGGCCTGTTCATGACAGTAGCCAAGCCTTCCTCACTAGCCCTGATCTGCTTCTAAAAGCAAGACAGTAAAACACGGAGGTCTTCACAGGAGATTTTTCTCCCATTTCTTTTGGATCACTTCACTGGTAGAAATGCAGCAAAAAACCACTGAGTGAAGAAAACTTAGATATACAAATTTCTGGATGAGTATAAGTGCTCTTTTCTGCCTAAAACCTAAACAAAAAATATTTTTCTGATCAACTCCACTTTTAGGCTGAAATAAGCAAGTTCACTAATTCTGTGACATTCTTCATGACACTGAAATAACCCAACAACGTTGCTCAAGTGTTCTCTCCTCATCAGTTCTAAGTCATGTCATTACGTAGAGGGGTAACTTTCTCAAACAAAGAAGGGTTAAAGGAAAAAAAGGAGAGAGAGAATGAAAGAAATACTTGTTATATTACACTTTCTAGTAATTACGTGAAACTTTACAGAAACTCAACAAAGACAGCATCCATAGGAAAGGGAGGGGGCATAAGGAATTTCATACAGCCTAACCAAGGTCACCCTGCTTGAATGTTTTTTCTTCAGAGTGCTATGGGTTCATTTCAGATTAACAGCATATTCCCATCATTTCAGCACATCATACCTTGTTAATCTGAAATGGCCTTTCTGCGGTTCTCCCTTTGTTGAACTGCTTTTCCCACTTGCCTTTGAAATAGATGGCATTCACCAACACAAGTCTGGTCAGGGAATTAAGAAGCCCCTCCGCCAACAGGTTCTGAATTTTACCTTTATGATACAGACAAACAACAGTTAAGAGCTGGACATGTATCTAATTATTATCCAGTAGACTATCGACTCTGCACTTAAGACACAAGAGAGAAGAGAATTATGTACCACACAGAGCAGGAGCTCAACAGTTGCGTTGTTTTAATTTACAACCTTATATCCTTGAAATAGCTGTTTACCCAAGCCATGGCCACCAGGAAAAACAACAGGGCACTTGGCAAAGCACTCACCTTCAGTCCTTTCCTCTACCCAGCCATTGATTTGTTTTCTGGAATCCTCCCAAGCATTCATGAAGTCAGTCGCTTCCAGTCCAGCGTGGTAGGATTTCTGACTCGACTCTAGAAAGGACTAACAGGGACATGCCCAACAGATTTGCAGCAAGAGATTTGACTCTCGTTCAGACATGCAGGATTCTTAAACACACCAAGAAAATCTGCCTACTTTCCTCCCCCAGCTTCACATAGAACAGTTAAAGTTTTGCCTGACATTTATAAGATTTATACAAACTATTTGAACTAGGAATTGTCCCCTGTATGGTTTTAAGTCAAATGGCTTATTTACTGTGCAACAAACCTCTATGGAACTTCACTGACAAATGAAGTGGCTGCTGTTTTCGTGGGGTTTTCTTCATGGTTCAGCGAGAGAACATATGATTTTCTAAGCTACTCTCTCCATAAATTTAATTGTTACACTTCCCAGACTAATGGAAAACTTTTAGTTCAGTTGAGAAATTAATCTTTCATAGACAGGATAAATCATCCCTTCTGTCTGATTTAATATACTTAGACCTTTATTACACAGAGGCAATGTTTGAGACTAGAGTATGGGTACTTTTTATCTACTAGACAAATGAAACAATAGCACTCTTCATAAAAGAAACACTGGAAATGACAACCAGAGGAAAAAAAACAGAGCCTTACATGTTCTTGCACCTAGGGAAGCATTGAAAGAAACACGTATAACACAGTATCTATTATCCTTATTTAGATCTTCTGATAAGGAAAATCTTAAAAGTCCTCTATTGTTCTCACAATGCTATCTGGATCACTTACCTAGGAGACAAAAACCACAAAATACTGCCCGTGCTGAAGAGCAGCAACAATTCTTTTTTTTGGTCATATTCCCAGACAATGAAGGAAAAAGAAACACATCAAACATGTGTCAAAAGTGTTAGTGGATCACAGAACCCTCGAGATGTAGAGACTGATGGATTTTACCCTACTTTGCAACATTCAGGGTATCTGAAAGGGGATTCTCCACCAAATTCAGATACCAGTCTCTGGCATCAACTATTGCATTGCTAGTCCTCAGCTCAGAAAATTTGGAAAGCAGAGCCCAAAGCCTGCCTTTGACCTCCAAAGCAAACAGGTAGCAAGTACATTATACTAAGAAATGCCACACATTTAATGGTTACTTACTGAGAGAAACTCAAACGTCTTTTCCCCATAAAGCCGGTTTGCAGTTCTCAGGATGTATTTGGTGTTTGGATCGTTAATTTCAGAGAGAAGGGATTGATACCCATTGTGAGCATCCTCAGCTTTGGTCAGAGAAAGCACCTGCACAAAGACAAACATCCTCAACGTGCCTTCTCTAAACACACCTGCTTCAGCACAATGACTTTTAGTTTTAAATGACTTCTACGTTAAACACTGTGACTTGAAGCCAAAAGATTTTTCATCACACCTCCCATCTGGAGCTTATCATAGAAGGCACATAAGATTCACCCAGCCAGATGTTGTCTAAGTAATAAATTAGGGAGCACAAGACTCAGCAATACTGATTTTCCTTCCATCAAGCCAAGCACTGGAGGATCACAGAATGGCTGAGGTGGGAAGGGACCTCAAGAGACCGGGGTACAACAACCTGCCCAAGCAGGGACATCTACAGCCAGCAGCTCTGGGCTGAGTCCAGATGGACTTGGAATAACAACAGCATGAAAAAAATAGGATTTTGGAGTAAATGTAATAGATTTAAATGGTAGTAAAACAGGATATTACATTCCTCTTCCACTTTGCAAAAAGGGCAAACATCATAACACAAATGATTGACTGCTCATTTCATGCTGTCATTTGCATATGTTAAACATATGCCAGGGGTATTTGCAAACTGAGCAAGATTTTAAAAAAAACTAAACCAAGGTGCAGTTACCACTTTGACATGCAGACAGCATGGATTTCTTTTTTTTATGTGCCTGCATTCATTTGGAAAACATGTGTCATCTGATCTTAAGTGCAAACAAGAAAACAGAAGAAACTATTACACATAGCTAGAGATTTATCCAACCAACAAATAAAACCCCAGATACCTCTCAATTCAATTTGGAAAGGAGATCTGTCTGTGTGAAAGAAATCAAAAAAACCTCACCCACAACAAAACCTTGAAACCTTGAAATTTCTACTAAACAAAGCTGCCCCTATAAAAGCAAGGAAAACAGGTTGTCCTTACACACACACCCCCCCTTCCCAAAAGAAGATCTCTGCTCTCTCAGACCACAATGACAACCCTGGTTTAGCAGAAGTGCATGTCACAGACTATAAGACACATTTGTTGATCACATTCAATCCAATAAGTCTATTTTCACCTACCTTTGTTATTTGAGCTTCCGTGTTACCTTTTGAACCCAGCAAAATCATAGACAAAGCAGAAGAAATACTAAAAGGGGAAAAGAATAGATTCTGACCACTTTTCTTCTCACACAGCTTTCTTAAGAGGTCCAGGGCAAAAGTGGTATTTGCTGCACACAGGCTTTCCATGGTTTCGAACCTGGCAGATAAAACACAGAACAAGAATGGATTGAATTTATCTGAACACAAAAAACCTGTTTCTCTCTTTCACGTTTCCCAGCATAAACTAGCCAGCAAATGTCAGCATTCGGCTGGAAAACTATCCCCTGAATGGAAAACTGATTTGGTGGCACAAGCACCTTAAACCCCATACAACTCTCTTGAGTTATTTTAGGGATTTACTGTCTGCTTTTGTATTTCAATCCCATACCTACATAGTATTACATCTTTTGAGATGATCAGGCACAACAGGATTCTGTTCAGAACTCACTGAAAGAAAGCTCTCTTGACCTCACAAAGAAAATAATTTGCCTTTATACAAACACCAGACCAAAAAGTGAGACATCAGAATGGCCAAATTACAAACTCTTACCTTCTCTAAGTCTACAGATCTTCAGCTGTACCTTCAGCTTACTCCTGCGTGTGCAGACTGTGTTTTAAACAGCTGAGCTGGGAGAAGTCAGCAGAATGACTTGTCCTACAAGAAACAAAAACATTGTCACTGGAATATTCTTTTACAAAAACAAGCAAAAAAAAACCCCAGTCACATTGAAATACCCTATTTTTTTCCCACATAAACTACATATCCCAATCCTACTTATCTGACTCACTAAATCGCATTATTTAAAAGAATTCCTTGCCTTCTAACTTGAAATTGGAAGCATGTGTATTGGCAGGTCTGCAGATTAAAGTTGTTCAGCTTCCCAGGCCCAGCACACCCCACACATCTCACTCCCGCACCTTTCCCCCTGCTTCTTCCTGCAGAACTGTCCAATTTGGCTCCATCCTTTCAGACCGTTTCAAACTCCTACGTGGAGGCGTTTGCACCAGAACGTGGGGATTTCCAGGACAGTCTTCCTACAGCAATTGCAAAATATCATTGTCGGCTCCCTCCGACAGAGGGATAACCGCCCGGCAGCTTTGCAATCTTCTTCTAGCAAAGAAAAAACTCCGCCACCTTCCC